GGGTAGATTTAGCCAATCAACAGGCTTAAAATTCCAGACATTAACTTTTACAGGTTGTTCGTTTGTTTGTTTTAAATTTCGCGCAAAGCTACACGAGGGCTATCTACGCTAGCCGTCCCTAATTTAGCAGTGTAAGACTAGAGGGAAGGCAGCTAGTCATCACCACCCACCGCCAACTCTTGGGCTACCCTTTTACCAACGAATAGTGGGATTGACCATCACATTATATCGCCCCACGGCTGAAAGGGCGAGCATGTTTGGTGTGACGGGGATTCGAACCCGCGACTCCCAGTCGAGCGCCCTAACCACCTGGCCATGCCGGGCCAACTTTTACAGAAAAATGACTATAGTAATAGTAGCGACATAACTTTCCCTCTTAGTCGATTTATTACAATAATGCTGCTTTTTAAATGGTAGATTTTATTAAAGTTAAATATCAAGTAGTTTTGACAAGTTATCTTCCTCAACTCTGTATTCTCTCCTTTTTTACGGATGAGGATATTAGCTCCACCTGTTACCATCAGCAAATCTTATTTCTGAGTTCATAATACCCGAAGAAGACTAATTTGTACTTGGATCACTAGAACTGAACTCTACAAAGTTCTTGACTCCAAATCTTCTTCTATTCTATTCTGTTACCATCAGCAAATCTTATTTAGCTCTGTGTTCCTATTTCTGAGTTCATAATGCCCGAAGAAGACTAATTTATACTTGGGTCAATAAAACTGAACTCTACAAAGTTCTTGACTCCAAATCTTCTTCTATTCTATTCTGTTACCATCAACAAATCTTATTTAGCTCTGTGTTCCTAATCTTGAGTTCATAATACCCGAAGAAGACTAATTTATACTTGGATCACTAGAACTGAACTCTACAAAGTTCTTGACTCCAAATTTTATTATATTCGTTTTAATCAGAAAAAAACCGAACCTGACTGTACTGGTAAAAGGTCCTACTGCCTTGAAAACGAGCATTGTAATTAATACTACGAAAGAGGCTGCAAAGATCAGAGTCACAGAATAAACTTTGATCCTGTAGAATAGTTTCACATGAACTGCTCATGCCTTCTGTCTAGTTTTAGGGAAGAGGTTTCGGACGCTGTTTGAGTTCTTCATCAGATGAGAGTCCGAAATATCGTCTCCAAAACTAAGAAAAAGGTTGGAGTAGTTCATATGAAACTGTTCAACGTATCAATACATTGTCTAAAACTTTCTTTAAAATAAGATATATGAGTCAACCTGGTATAAAACCGTGTAAGTTGAGCCTCGATAACAGGAGGGATCCTGATATCTTAAATCAGTGCACTCAGTACTCGTAGAGTTTTGGGCATAGCAGTGAGGGCGTGCGACTCGCAATATATGGGTCGCGGGATGAAAACCCGTCATAGACTATCGCCCTTTCAGTCGCGGAGACGTTTTAATGTGACAGTTAATCTCATTATTCGTTGGTAAATAATGGCCCAAGAGTTGGCGGTGGGTGGTTTTGACTAGCTACATTCCCTCTAGTTTATAACTTCAAATTTTTAAACAACAAGTGCAGATAGCCCTAGAGTAGCTTTGTATGAAATATAAGAAACAAACTCATAGACCTTAGAGTGCCCTGATTCATACAGTTAGTAAATCAAGTGGCTTATAATGTTAATTATGTAATGATAATAGATTATCGTAACTCTGATACTATTAAGTGGGCTTACAAACTAGACTATGGCAACTGACATTGAAAGATATGTTTAATTATTAACGTTCAGTTACCTAACTACTCCCTCCGAGACGGTAGTTCAGCGTTTCTATAAACAGTATATATAGGGAGGTATAACTGAAGTAAAAACATTATAACAAAAAAATGTCTTGCATCGTTATTAATTAAAGATGCGCCATTTATTAAGCCGTTTTGTATCTACAATATTGAACTATGACAATCAAACGTATACAATATCGATCAATTGCTATTGAAAATTATTTATACACAATATCAACCAAACGCAATTAAAGTTTATTCACCTTGACCAACCATGTAATATCTACCAAGCACAACTACATGGACTATATGCACTTTGCCCACTGCAGGGATTCAATCCTGTATTTTAACTTCATAAACCCTGCCTCTCTTGACTTAGCAGTACGCTTGGAGACATATAATTAAAATGTTGAGCTCGATTCCTACGGTGGACGCAACACAGATAGCTTATTGTACAGCCTTATACTTAATAATGAATCAAATTAGTTATAAGCCCATATTTTACCTCCGAGTCAACGGGGGGGGGGGTAGGTTATACACTGTGATGGTTTGTTTGAAAAATAAAAACGAAACATACTGATGTAATAATCATATTTTGCTGAATACTCGTGAAGTTCACGAATATTTCAAGATTATTGTTTGCATTCTTAGCCTTTGTCATAGGAAAGTAATATATTTCTATACCTTAGATTACTACATTTACAAAGTTTCGTCGACAGAGCACAGTTGATTATGTGATTAGTGCTTTATTCACCCCATCTGTTACACAATTACGATTTGGAGCTATTTTAAAACATACCTCTTCGTCCATTAAAATGACGTTAGGCTTCATAATTAATAAATTGGGTTCGTACAAAGTTTGATTAATCTGTTTCGAAATTTGTTTTCTAGTTGTAACGAGAATTTTCTAACGAAATTCCATTGGTCTGCTAAACTTCAGATGAAAGAAATTAGGACAACTGCCAGTGCTCGATCCTTTTTTCATCAGTTAATCAGGATGTTATATTTTTTGCGTCATAAGAGCTTAATGAGTTTCTTACTTCGATAAACAGGTTACATGCTGAAGGTTTAAATTTGTTTTTCATGTAGGACTTAAGTGAAAGTACGAATAAAATAGTTAACAATTATTTATTTGATGAGCTTCTCAAAAGTTCATTCAGAATACCACAGTCGTCACAAAGTTCGTTTATATTATCTCTTTCTTGTTGTTCGTAATTGGTCCTTTATGATTTCACACCTGTGACTTATTAGGAAATTAAATGCAAAAAAGAGAGAGAGAGAAATATATATATACTTAATTTCATTAACACATTGACACTTTATCATTAGTGCACTATTTAAATGCATGATTATTCATTGTCACGGTGTGAATAAGGTGATAAGCATTAACTATCAGTTATTCTATTCTCAAGTTAACTCAAGCATGAGACATTCACTAAATGAAGAAAGCATTGCCCTCCTGAGAATATACTTCGAGGTCCAAAGGTAGTGACCCTAGGCATACCGTCTGATTTTTATAAAGAATTAAAGTAATTATCAAAGGTGTTACATTAACCGTCTTTAAATATTCTGGAAATTCAAAATCTAAAACAATTATATTTGTCAAGGAAATGGGTTTGGTGTGACCTAGTGGCTAACGTGCTGGATTGTGGAGCAGAAGTCCAAGGTTCGAGTAATGATATGGCACAGAACATGTATTGCAATACTAGCTGTAGGGTCATGCCAGGGTTTAAATATGAGTGGGCTGGGATTCATCTACAGTAGGTGTCTGTGACTTGTTGGCGATAAATTCGAACAATATACGGATATCAAACAATCCACTTGTTTTTAAAATAATGTATTCAAAACAAGTCGCTCTCCAGTAGCACAGCGGTATGTCTGCAGACTTACAACACTAGAAACCGGGTTTCGATACCGGTGGTGAGCAGAGCAAAGATAGCCCATTGTGTAGCTTTGTGTTTAACTTCAAACAAACAACCAAAACAAGTCAAATGTATATACAAAAATTATTTACACTATAGAATATCACAGTTGTATCTCAAACTCTAAATAATTCTATTTCGTTATCAAAAGTCTTCACGGGCTGGTTCAATTACTTTAGATTCCAATTGACAGGACAAATTATTTTTCTCTACTCTTATCACAATAGTATCAGTAAATAATTCACTTACGTTACCCCGTGTGTTACCACAGTTGTATCCTGAACCTTAAATAATTGTCTCCTTTTCGTCAAAGTCCACACAGGCGGGTTCAATTACCTTAGAACACCCTTTGACAAGACAAGTTATTCTTCTTATCTCTATTAAACTGCAAAACTCACTTTAAAATATCACCCGTTAAGGCTAATTGTTCACATTCCAGCTACCTTCACGTTTTCTGTCACAAACTAACCTTTTTCTTGACTTAACTTTACTTGACTTGTGCTCGTTTGGTCACCTATATATATATATACCTTGCCCAACTGAAGTCTTGAACTATTACAAACTAAGAGACGCTATGATTTAACAATACTTACATAGCTAGAAAAACTTGGAGGTTTCGAGAAAGATGACGCCAACAATACTACAACAATTGAACTACACATACACAGCGCACGACTCTTACTGAGTTACGCAACGAAACCTATCACAACCATCGCCTTCAAAATAATTAACCTTAACACTCTTGTCACAAAAAACAAATAATCATGAAATATCAAATTACTAAACAAACCAAATAACTCTTATACTAAACAGTTTTGTATATCCAACAGATAATTTTAACTGTGGTAGTCAATACACTATTTGATTAAGAGCAGTATTGTAGGCGGAAGGTGCTGCTGATTGGATGCCCGTATTTTGATCACCGTAACTAAATTTGGGGTGATTAAGCGATTTTTGGCGTCTGATGTGTTCTTTTAACCCATGTGTCGCATAAAGTGTCGTATGGGTTGAATATATTAAATACTAAGTTGTAAAGGAAGAACAAATTGGATTATATTGACTTCCCGATTGTTTAGCGATACCAATTAAATATGAAACAGATAAAAACTAAGCAAAAGAGATTAGCGTTTAATAATGGAAGATACATTCCCGAAGTACTTACACATATTTTTCTTCTCTAATCGAATTTGAAATGTTTTCATTTAGAAAAACTAAAATAACATTAAAAAGCAGCAAATATTTTCCTGGAAAATTCTGACGTAATTTCTATTCGATCATGAACATTAGTCAAGTGAGACCATGAAGAGTCGGTTAATTAATCATTACTTTTTTTCTTTGCAGATAGAAGATGCGATGCTGATGTTTGACAAACAAACTAATCGACATAGAGGTAAGGTTTCTTTCCGTTTACAGTTTTCACAATATCCATATCTTAATGACGAATGAAATAATGAATTCGATTCACCAACAGTGGCTGTAATGTACTTAATTATTGACGCACAAATTGACCAAGGCAAAATAAACCAATTATGTACCTTATAGTTTTTAGTAAAACTAAATAACCCACTTTTCGCAATTATAGATGTTTTGGCAGCGTTTTTTTGTGTGTGTGAGGTTCGTAATATTTGGCTGAAGTACATATTTTGTTGTGTGTGTGAGGTTCGTAATATTTGGCTGAAGTACATATTTTGTTGTGTGTGTGAGGTTCGTAATATTTGGCTGAAGTTGGTACATAAATTAAATGATAAATGTCAGTATCTGATGTTATGAGATCTGTTATATTTGCAGTTAGTATCTTGAGATCAATGTAATATTTGACTCAAGTTGCTACTTTGATTCTCTATTACTGAATGAAGTTATTACTTTGAACTCTGTAATAATATTTCACTGAAGTTGTTACTTTGAATTTTATAATAGTTGATTAAAGTTGATACTTTTAATTCTGTATTACTAAATACAGTTACTACTTTGGGATCTATAATACTTGATTGAAGCTGTTACTTTGAACTCTATAATATTTGACCGAAATTGGTACTTTGAATTCTATAATATTTGTCTAATGTTGATACTTTGCATTCTGTAATATTTGACTAAAGTTGATACTTTGCATTCTGTAATATTTGACTAAAGTTGATACTTTGCATTCTGTAATATTTGTCTAATGTTGATACTTTGCATTCTGTAATATTTGTCTAATGTTGATACTTTGCATTCTGTAATATTTGTCTAATGTTGATACTTTGCATTCTGTAATATTTGACTAACGTTGATAATTTGCATTCTGTAATATTTGACTGAAGTTGATACTTTGCATTCTGTAATATTTGTCTAACGTTGATACTTTGCATTCTGCAATATTTGACTAACGTTAATAATTTGCATTCTGTAATATTTGACTAAAGTTGGTATATGGAGATATCTAATCCTTCACTAAAGTTGTTCCTTTGAGATCTCTAATGTTTGACTTTGGTTGGTACTTGGAGAACCGGAGTATTTGACTTTAGTTGGTATTTGATACTTAAGACCTATAATATTGATTAAAATACATCCATTGAAGTCTGTACTGTTTAGTTGAATTTGTAATATCTGACTAAATATCGAGACTTTTGGTGTATTATATCGACAAATGTAAAAGAGCTGCAAATATACATGTATTACAGAACTAATGTTGTACATAACATGTTACAGCATGAAAGCTATGAAGGTCGAAAACTCGTTTGATTACATCATAGTTCTAACAGCTTATACAAGATCATCCATAGATCCTGCGAGGATTCGTCAAATTTCTGTCAAACACAGCTTTAATTCATAAACATTTTAGTAAAGTGACATATGTTTTTGCATGGTAACAAATAAAACGGAAACTATTGTTGCGTGTTTCCCCAAAAAACTGAAGACTATCCAAAAACAAAAGTCCTACGTTTTGAAACCTTTCAATGGAAAAAAAGTTATCAGCTTGTACTCTTTGCAATTGTGAGTATATGTCGCAAGTTTGTGAGTGCGACGATCGATCACAAAGCCGTCAGGCGAAGCTCACAGAAGAAATCTTAAAAGCTTGCATGCATGTTGTAGATAAAGGTCTAAAATACCGGATATCAAGCCACCTAGCAATTATTTCACGTACATTTAATTTTCATAAAAAATGTCTTGCTGGTTAGTATTACAGTAATAAACATACAGAAGACTACAGACAAGCCTACAAAAGCATTATATATATGCATACGTATTGTATATGATTGGTAAGTCACATTCAAAAATTCCGATAAAACTCTAGCGCTTTTAATAGGCGAATTTATTTTCTTGGGGATAAAAACTCCTGAAAGAGACAGGTATACCTGTCGAAAGCGATAGGTTTTTATCGTTTTCTTTTAATTTGATTTATTAGCGTTGTTTATTCCACGTGTTCTTTTATATACGTATTATGAACGGCAAGACATGCATTCATGACATGTTTCATCGTGCTACCGAAATGCGACAAAATCAGAGCAGAGTTTGGCAATTCTTTTTTCTAATGACAATTTATTTCTAGGATATTCTATGTGTTGATCCAAATAGGTTAGATTTATTAAACAACCTTTTGAAGCTGAAGCATAAGTTTGTTGCAATTGTCATGCAAATGTAAAAATAGCTATTAAGCAACCATAAAAAATAGTTACTAACTAACTGTGACAAATACTTACTTACTAACCAACCGTATTATATATCTTCCTCGGGTATTCTCCAACTAAAGATCCAAGGTATCTAATTCGTTAACAAAACTTATAATTCATAACAATAACTTATTAGTGCTTTCGTTGTAAAACATTCTCATGTTCTGCACTAACTATTTAGGCCTCTAACATTTAGTAAACTTAGAGAAAAGTCAAGTACAGTTCACATATTTATTTTTGTATTTGTTCACGTGCAGCCGTATAATGGGTGCGCTACCTTAGGACTAACGAACGACCTTACTTATTTTTGTATTTGTTCAAGTGCAACTGCGTAATGGGTGAGCTACATTAGGACTAATGGCCGTACTTACTTTTGTATTTATTCAAGTGTAGCTGTATAACAGGTGAGCTACCTTAGGACTAACGACTATGTAAATCCTCTTCAACATATATATATATAAATATTTACAAACATTACAACAAAACTTCTATTGTAATGTTGGTTTATATTAAGTTCATTATTGTTTTATAGTGGTGATTTAATCGCCTATTAATTCAACTGGTAGTATATATATATACAAACACAAATGCCTATCATTTAATCTGTTTCTGTTTATCTATCCATCTGTTTGTCTATCTCTTTGTCTGTCTTTCTGCCCATCATCTATCCATCTTTTCAATTGTTTGTATTTCTGTCCATCTATTTATTTGTTTCTGTCTGTACAACTATCTACACATCTTTGTCCTTCTCTTCCCCAGAGGGACAGTGTTAAATTTACGGATTTACAACGCTACAATCCGGGATTCGATTGCTCGCAGTGGACACAGCAGATAACTCAACGTGACTTTGCTCTAAAACAAACAAATAATCAAACTGACCTTTTATATATTATACCTTTCCGTGCATTTTCCTCATTTGAGGACAAACTATAACAAGACAGCTTCAAACCGAGGCTACAGCGACGGGACTAGGCATATAACACAGCGCTTTGAAACATGTAGGCATCGTAACGGGATGACTAAGTATATAATAAAGCGGGTTTTGAACTGGTATTGAAATGGAATCAAATAATATTTCTTAAATTTGATTATTGAATACAATTACAGGAAAACATATATTTCTACCGCTACCTTATTCAATATTGTAGCTATTGAATTATGTGTGTGAATAATTTTACATTTAATAAACAGAATATATCCCATAGTCATAGCTAGATATGTGGAATACTGGGTAAACCCTTAGCTTTTTAAATAATGTTTTAAAATACAAGTTTAGATAGAAAAAATATTTCGGCCTATGAATTTTGAATTAAAATAATACGAACGTGCGGCTTTTAAAAATTCGAGATTATCCCAGTTAATAGTTGTCTTAAAGTATAATGATCTTAAGTACATGTATTCTAAAGTGCTCAAAATTTACCTTACTCCACTATAATTTGTAGAAACGCTCGTGATTTGTCCTTAGACTTGGTTAAGTCTTCATTATTATGGATACATGAAAAAATGAATAACGAATCAGATCAGATACATTGATATATAGATTGATAGGTTGTTGAAAGAAAGATAGCCATGTTTGTTATTCCTATATTTATATATTTTGAATTGAAGACATATTAAGACCTCTAACTATTTTGTGTACATGTCTTCTCTGTGACAGAGTGTTCCTACAGCTACGGAACATCCTGTGCAACTGTTCTACAGCATCATCTAATGTCACAAGTATATGCAGAGAAAAAAAGATGATAAATGAGACACGTTCTAAATATATATTTAATTACTGGGGCTGTATATTCTAAATCTTAATTGAATAACGAGAGAATATAAAGCATTTTCTTTGTTCTTCTTTGAATATTGTTAATGTTATTTTTTAAGATATCAAACTATGAGCATTACATACTTTTTATAATAATAAAAAATAACGTATTTAACTAATTAATGTCATTAAAATTGTTTGATGACAAAATTATGAATGCAATTATCTTGTCTCTTTAGAAAAAAAAATATATATAGTAAGTTATCAAACTAGAAACAGTGAATAGGCTCAAACCTGACATACTAGACTCAGTGCTCACACTACACAAAGTGAACAGTGCTCATACCTTTTATACTACATTCAGTAAGCAGTACTCATACCTTTCAAACAGCACACACTGAATAGTGCTCATACCTGTCATACTACACTCATTGAACAGTACTCTTACATGTCAAACTACATCCAGTGAACAGTGCTTATACTTTCTATAGTGAACTCAGGGAAGAGTGTTCATACTACACAGTTAACAGTGCTCATACCTGTAATACTACACTCAGTGAAAAGTGCTAACGCTACACAAAGTGAATAGTGCTTATATCTACCATACTACTCTCATTGAACAATAATAATACTTGTCGTACTCAGTGAACAGTGCCCATAGCGACTACGCTAAACTTATTGAACAGTGCTCATACTTGCAACACTACACTCACGGAAAAGTGCTCATAATACACATTGTTAATAGTGATCATACCTATTATACTACATTCAGTAAACAGAATTCATACCTGCCATACTACAAAAGTGAACAATGCTCATATTTGTCCTATACATTCAGTGAACAGTGCTTATACATACCACACTACACTTAGTGAACAGTGCTCATACCTGCCATTTTACATTCAATGAAACCTGCTCATACCACAAAAAGTGAGGAGTGCTCATACCTGTCAGACAACATTCAGTCAACAGTACTCATACATACCA